TCCAGAATATGACCTTCCGAATCCGTCAAGCGAGTTCTGATCTCTGATCGGCCATCAGACATATCAAAACTGACGCGTGACAAGAGGGTATAGCGTGCGTGAAACGGGAAAAACCTATATTAAAAGTCTGCCACACCGATCAGAACCCCCCTCCCTGCGTTTAGAAACCCTTGCTTTGCTCGTAAGCCTCTGACTGTGAGCCTATACGAGGAATTATTCGCTGTCCCGCTGGAAGGCCGCTGGCGAAGAGCTTTGGTAACATCCCCTCCCTCAACTAACTTTGCTCCTAGAACCCTCTAATTTCCTCCTACTTGTGATTGCTTCAGGAAGGCGATGAGTCGGATTCGCAGCCACTTTATAGCATCGGTGATGTAGGTGCTGGTTGGTTCCGTCACATAGAAGACCGCAGACGTAAACTGTGGTACTTTGGAGCGCTGAAACGACGTTGGGCTTATATTTGGGAGATGCTCAAGGTTAGCAGTAGTTTGTTTTGGTTCTAAAATCAGTGCATTCTTGTTTGCCGTAAAGTTTGATGTGTATCATACCCGGAAGTCGTAATATATGTTGTCTTTGGTGTAGACTTATCAATTTTTGTACTGATGTGTCCTATTGATTATGTGTCACCTCTGTGTAATAGTCAGATGGAAGTGTTCGCGTTCACTTTTTATCTGCCCTTCAAAACCGTTCTTTGGTTTTAATGTGTCACAGTCCTGCAGTCCGGAGGCTATCGGACCCTCCCACCACTTGTGTCTCAGTGTCCTGAGTGCTCATGCTGGCAGCTGTTATTCTATTCATGTGAGCTCGTAGCGATGGTTTCGTTCATCTTGCAGCGTTCACCGACGGACATGGAGGCAAAGATGCTATATGAGGAAGCTTGCACCGGTTGCCGACGCTGCCGTCCACCTGTCGTGTTCGAACCACCTGCCTGGCGATGGTGGCATATCCTAACTGGTCCACCTCGTATTCAACAACCAGAAGGTTGGCTACTCTTTATAAAATTTTGTGAAACGAAGGACTGCAAGAAGTGTGATCTGTTATGGTTCTTTTTAAAAGGCCATAAGACCCCAATATGCCGACTCCTTTTTTGGCTCTGTTTCATACTTTTGCATTACTTGACTCATCCCCTGTATATCAGGAGTATTCTTTCTGCACTAAATCAGATGGGACGGG